GTGATATTAACTCAAGATTATAAACCTACAATCATCTCTGACTTGCATATCTACAGGGCTTTTATCTGCAGTTTATGGAGGACATGGAGTGTAACATAACATACCAGCAGACCAAATCACAAACGTCCATACAAGATTGCCGAACAACCAAGGCATTTATTTACAATCAATTTACAATAATAAAGTAAACAGAAAACCCCCCACTTATTTTTATTGCTAAAAAAGAAAAGAAGCACTAAGTTACATGTCAAAGCCTACGCAAAGACAAAGCCTACACTCCCTGTCTGGCCACAAAAGCTTCTGCTAACATACAGGCGAATTTAACCAAACACAACAGAACAGAGCAGGTCCCACAGGTTTGCCACAGTTCAACTCCCAAGATCACTATAAGTAATCCTGAATCAACATGCATGTCTTAGCTCGGTAACTAAATGGAAAGGGGCACTTACTGCTGGAGCTAATTACATGGAATTTTGCAAACAAGCATAATCCCCTTCAGCTCTGGCGTGAGGTGTGAGAGAACTGCAACAAAGACAGGGAAGAGCAGCTTTCTTTCATGAAGTGGCCAAACGACCGGAGGGCATAGCAGACACATAGAGAACTCCACTGATGTATCATGAGATTAGAAAGTAAATTTCTTTTAAATGGTTGAATATGTTTTAAACATTTATACACGTTATAATGTGACTTTGTGAACTTTAAAGGTTCTCATTTTGGTCCAATTTTTAGAATTTTTATTTTAAAGTTAACCTTTACTAAATTCTTACCACTAGATGACACTCTTTAACCATTAATTGTTTATGTAAGTGCTGCTGAAGTGAGAAACAAGGAAATACCAGGTTTGCCCTGAGATTAGTGTGGTACAATGGTTAGCAGTGTCACCATACTACAAGAAGGTTCTGGGTTCAAACTTCTTCTGGGAGCTGATGTGTCTTCCACAGTATGATAACATGTTTGTTAGGTTGACTATAAATCAGTTGTAGATGTGGAATTGAGAGTGAAAAACTGTCTCTCTCTGGTGGCTGTGTCTGCTGTACCGTGTCTGCCATGCTATGACAGTTGGATAAGTGGTTAGGAAAACACTGATAGATGGCCTGAGATCTGCCAGTTATGACGGGCTAATCACACAGAGCAAATGTGTTGTTATTCTAAGGTGAACTGAGCCTAAGCACTGAGGACTCGATGAGGGCTATAACTATAAGGCTATAACCTTTTTTTCTTTTTTTTTTGTAAATATTTTTATTGAAAAAAGAAAACAACACAGTATTTGCAGTTACGGAAATACAATTAACCGATACTTATCTGCGATAGGTTTGCTTAGCATAGGGGATCTAGCCTTAGGACCCTTATGGCCCAGGCGGGAATCGAACTGGTGATCCTCTGCTCCAAAGGCGTGTAGTCTAACCACTATGCTGTCCAGCTGCGCGCTCGCTCGCTCTCTCTCTCTCTCTCTCTCTCTCCCTCTCCATATATATTATACT